TCCAGCTCAGGGCTGGACGGGAAGGCTGAGGAGAAGGCCCGAGCAAGAGCTGTGGGCTGGGGGCCCGACTGCCGGGAACCCGTGAGCCTGGGGGTGGCGGCTGAATGGGACGGTTACACTCAAAGGACCAGGGCTGGACGCTGGAGGCTCCTGTCTTGGGGAGGACAAGGATGACGTTGACGTCCGAAGCCCACAGTGCCAGCCTCTGCCTCTCCCTTACTGCCCTTGGCCCGCTCTCCTCCTTGGGCCCCTTGGTGGCTGCCAGACTGCTCCTGCCAGACCCTCTGCAACCCTGGGCTGTCCCCAAGGCAGGCGTGCGATGCAATGGCCGGAGCTCACCTCGCACTGGCACTTCCTTTCGGACTGCCCCACCTGGGCGCTCCTCTTCCTGTGCTTGGCTCCAGGCCCTGCGTTCTCGCTTGGCCCGTCTCTATTTGCTTATTTGCTCATTCCGTGTCTGCCTCTGTCCCAGCGGTGGACTCCTTGAGGCTAGGACTGTGGCACGGGGCCTGATAAGTATGTGCTGAGTGAGTGAATGAGCGAGCCAGCAGGGAGACGGGACCAGAGGGGGGGCTCTGGCGTGCTGAGGGTGAGGACCACAATGCTGGGGACACACTCACACCCGGTGCCAGAGAACCACCAGGCTGTTTATTGCTAGTCCCAGGCTGTAAAATTCAAGAGTTGAGAGCAAGGTCTTTGCTTTGTCTCCGAGGAGCAACGTTATATAAACTTGTCGATAAATATCGATGCACGCTCAGACTGTCATGTTCAGACGAGCTGCGTGGGGAAGCGGGATCTTCTGCCCCCAGCCTCCGGGGCCGTGGCAGGAGCTCTGCTGCAGGGACCCAGTGTGTGCAACCTCTGCATTCCTCAAATCTGCCGGAGAGGGAGAGGCAGGGCAGGGCAGCGGCGCTGGTTCTGCAGGGCGCTCTGGTGAAATCCACCCGCAGCAAACCTCATCCTGGAGCCAAACGGGGACTCCCCACAGAGCAATCCATGCACAGCCCTTTTCATAGCATGCATTTGCATGGAGTCTTGGAATTTTGGCAACTTCTGCAACTCAAGGCCAATCATGCCTCGAGAGCCCGGGGCATCTAGGCAGTGCAGGGTGGTAAGTCAGGCACTGCCCACTGGGGACCCCCACAGTCTACAGGGATGCATGCCTTCTGAAATTGTCCCACACCCAAATAAACTTGGCATTTATTTCTATTTTCCACAAACTTATTGCGGTTCCCTTGTGTCCTTCCAAAATAGAATCCTGAGCCTGCCACTCTGCTGCTTAAAACCCCTAAGTAGCTTCCTGTTACCCTGGAGATAAAGCCCAGGTTTTCAGGGAGTCTCTCCCCCGCTGCCCAGCCTCCCAGGCCTCCCCTCACTTGCACCCTCTGGGCCAGCCCTTGCCCAAGCTGGCGAGGCTTCCAGCACAGCCGGGCTTCTGCAACTTCTGTGCACAGCAGGTGTGCATCCCGTATGGGTGCCGTTTGGAGTCCCAGCTGCTCCAACTTCTGATCCAGCTCCCTGCTAATGCACCTGAGAAGGCAGTGGAAGATGGCCCAAATACTTGAACCCCCTAAACCCATGTGGGAGACCCGGATGAAGCTGCTGGCTTCTGGCTTTTGCCTGGCCCAGCCCTGGCTGGTGTGGCCATTTGGGGAGTGAACGAGTGCTCAGTCCCTGTCCCAGAGTTCTGTATGAAGCCACTTCTTGTGTCATGCCCCCACAGAGGACTTCCCTGCTCCCTGCTCCCATCAGGTCCAGTGGCCCTGTTGCTGGTGTCACCCTGTGTGCAGTAAGTGCCCAGCCCTCCTCACACAATAGACTGTGGGGCCCCCAGCGGGCCATGGCTGACTTACCTCCCTGCACTGCCTGGCTGCCCTGAGGTCTCGAGGAATGATCAGCCTTGAGTTGCAGAAGTTGCCAAAATTCCAGAAGTTTCCAGGGAGGCAAACTCTTCTTTAGCTCAAACAGCCTCTGTTCACCATAAGGCACAGCCTGACGGAAGTTAGCCTTGTCTGGGAAGAGTCCCGCTGTGGGGGCGGAGGCCATGGTGTCCACTTGCAATTGGTCCCTTCACTTTTTAAAAATTGAGGTAAGATTCATACAACATGAAATCAATCATTTTTAAAGATTTATTTTATTTTATTTGAAAAGACAGAGAGAAGAAGAGACAGAGACAGAGAGAGAGAGGTCTTCTATCTGCTGGTTCACTCCCCAAATGGCTATAACCACCAGAGCTGGGCCAATCTGAAGTGAGGAGCCAGAAGCTTCTTCCGGGTCTCCCACATGGGTGCAGGGGTCCAAGGACTTGGGCTATCTTTTCCAGGTGCATAAGCAGGGAGCTGGATTGGAAGTGGAACAGCCGAGACTCAAACCAGTGCCCATATGGTGGGCACTGCAGGTGGCAGATTTACCCATAATGCCCCAGCACTGGCCCCTGCATCAATCATTTTAAAGTGAACAACTCAGTGGCATTTAAAATAGTTACAGTGTACAGCCATCACCTCTGTCTACTTGTAAAAGCTTTGCATTGCCTAAAAGAAAACCCTGTGACAATTGGCAGGCATCACCCTCTCCCCTACCCCCAGACCCTCTGGATTTGCCTTTTCTAAATATTTCATACAAATGGAATCATCGCATGTGTGACCTTTTATGTGTGGCTCCTCTCATTTGTCAAGTTTTCAAGGTGCATCTGTATTGGTAGCAGATGCTTCATTTCTTTTACAGCTGAATAATGTGCCTTTGAATGCATGGACAGTCTTCCCCTGCTAATTGTCAGGGGATTCATTCTGGGACCCCTAAACATACCAAAGCTATGGATGCTCAAGTAGCTTACATAAAATGACCTGGTATTTATATTTAACTTATGCGTACCTCCCTTATACTCGGCGAGGGGCACCTTTTCTCTGCCGAGGGCCGTTTTGATATTTAGAACATCATTCACAGGCCGTACAAATGGATTGAATTTCAAGTCCCGCCTGCGATTGCCTTGGCAGGGCCAGGCCCAGCGATTTCGCGGGCCAGACCTTCCCTTGTCCGGCTCTGAGCTGTCTCTAGATGACTTAGAACACAGCGCAATGCAACACTGTGGAAACCGTTAACTATGTGTTGTTTAGGGAGTCATGAAACAAAGAGAAGTCTGGACATGTTCAGTGCAAACACAAGTTTTCCCGGCACATTTTCAGTCTGCACTTGGTTGGATCCATGGATATAAACGCTGATGTCATCACAGTTTGTGTACCCATCCCTCAGTTGTTGGACATCTGAGCCTTCAGGAAATCTGGGTGTTTTTGATTTCTCTAGCCCTCCACTCCTCCAAACGTCTGCCAGCCATGTTCCTGGGTCCCCAGCCCTGGTGGTGGACAGTGGCCTTGACCATTCCTCTTCTGTGCCAGGAAAATGCTATCCTCAGAGGGACAGGGCACAGGGGGTGGGTAGGTGTGCCTTTGAGGGGGATCTCCCACTCCATGTTCAACCTCCACTGACTTCCATCTCGACCCCACATCCTGCTGGGTGACTCTGGTCTGATTTCCATAGCATCTCCCCGCTATGCTACCCTCAACCCAATCCGGGGCAAGGAGATAAGCGCAGAGGGCTTCAGCCGAGGGCGGCTGGGGAGGAGGGTAATGGGGGGCAGCACCGTGCATCAGCAATGGATAAAAATGGGATTTGACACGTCGCCCTCCTCAAACCTCATCCACATGCACAGGGAATTTCTCAGGGACGGTGTCTGTCTGCCCATAAAACTCAGACAGACTCTCCTCAGATCCCCCTTATCTTTCCTTTCTCAAAGCCCTCCCCGTCAACAAACAACTCTGCTTCTTTGGAGTCCTGTCTCTTCCTATCCTTATAAACAGCCCCTGGAGTGAGAAGGAGACTGGACAGACATGCCTAAGATTGGTTGCATTTTTCTTTGCGAGAGGATGTCTATCATATTTTGAGGCCAATGGGCTCCAAGGGCTACCAGCTTCCAAAAGCTAACTTGGCAATAAAATCCTGTTGATTAACACCATTGTCCCAAGATCATGTCCCAAGATCACAGGCAGTGCATGGGGCCAGTGCAAGCCTGGAGGTTCCCTTGAAGGCAGCCGTCTACTCTTTGCTGCCAAATCCTGGCAGTGCTCTCAGTTTGCTTGCTGTTGTATTGCTTCTTTAATGTTGCTTATGTGGATAAAGGATGGGAGACTCCAAGTTGGAGATCACTGTGTCCTTGTGAGCAGAAAAGGAAGATGCCCTGGCTCAGACTTGACAATGATCCCTCTGGTTACTGTGTCAAATATAGCAGAGGGTGCAAGGAAGCAATGAGTTAGCAGGCTGCTTCATGACTGCAGGTCACGGGGCATGATGGCTTGGGCCAGGGTACAAGGAGCTGAGGCCAGAAGCCACACTGAGATGATGGATGCATGGGAAAGCATGCTGCTGGTAGATCGGGTGTGGAGCAGAAGCAAAGAAGGTCAAGGTTAACTTCAAAGCTTCCAGCTTTCCTGACTGCAAAGGTGGAGCTGACATTTCCTGCAACGAGGAAGAATCCAGGGGAAGCAACTCTGAGGTAGACAAAGAGCAGGGAGTGTGGGGAGGGGTGGGGGGGAGTTGTTTTCAAAGTGTGGCTCTGATGTCCGAGTGGATGTTAAATAAAGAGTTGCTGTCTGAGATTGGAGATCAGTAGTGGGGGTGGGGGTGGGGATGCTGGTAGCCAAGAGGCACCAGAAGCATTGGCTGAAGGGTCCCATGTCCCACTCCCTGCACAGTTAATAGAGAAAGTGGAACAAGGTGGGAAATCCACATGTTGAGTCAAAAAGGAACCTCAAAGATTGGCCTGCAGAAGGGGGACGAGGCCCACAGAGTGCAGGTGGTTTGCCTAAGGCTGCAAGTTAGTGTCAAAGTCGGGTTCTAGTTTTCTGGGCTCCTGGAGCCCTGTTCTTTCCAGGTTTTGAGAGCCGTGCATGTGAGCTGACGGGTGGGCAAGCAGAGGCTGGATGACTCTCCACGGTGTCTTCCCCCAGGTCACCATCCTTGTCAGCCTGGCCCTAGCATTCCTCGCCTGCATCGTGTTCCTGGTGGTTTACAAAGCCTTCACCTATGACCACAGCTGCCCAGAAGGATTTGTCTATAAGGTAAGGAGCTTTGGGCAGGTGGGTGGCCCCAGGCCAGTGTCAACGTCCGTTAGAGGGATTGTTGGTGCCTTCTCTTCTTTGGCTTCTAAGTTCTGGCTGTGGCAGCCTTCCTACAGACTGCTTAAGACGTAGTGCGAGCCTGGCGAGGCATTTTCCAGTATTCGTCTCCAGCAGGCAGGGTAGAGCCCACGCTCTAGGGTCAGGGGATGGTCCAGCTTTAGGCTCCATATCAGCATGAGAGACAATCAAGACAGAATCTGCCTTAGAGCTAAAACAGGTGATAACATCAATAGTTGTAATTGTCATTTATCAATTGTCTAGTATCTGCCAGGCCCCTAACTAGACATTTCCATGAACATTATCTCAAAGAGACTGTACATCATTGTGAAAACTAGGGTCTGTCGTCCCATTCTATATAAAGAGGCTAAGAGCGCCACGTTAAGAGGATTTGCTGAGGTGCCACAGCTATTCTGTTCCAAAGTAGAAGGATTCCACAGGAGATGTCACGGCCTGGGAATAGGCTGTTAGCTTCCTACGACTCCACTCTTCTAGGACTCAAAGTTCTGAAGACTGGAAGCACCTTAGGGCCTGGCTGAATAAACCACGCTATGTCCATGCAATGGAGCTTCTGTGCAGGGGGAAGCGTGGACAGACTGTCTTCTAAGATGGTGTGGACAAACGGAGGAAGGGGGGCCTTGCCTACGTGTGAGAAAAGGGGAGGCTAAAGATACTTGCTTGTTTTCGTCACAAAGAAATTCTGGAGGGATAAATCAGAAAATTAATAAAAATGAAGATGCAAGGGGAAGCGAAGGTGGGGGGAGGGAAGCATGGCTTCTCTGGATGTAGCTTACTCTTGGTCCTTGTAACTAGAAACAAGCTAAACACAGAACGTGGCTCTAGATCCAGTCGGGGACGGAAACTTGTAGAGAAAGCAAATATTTCACAGAATATAAGATATTGGTCCTAACTGCAATATAAAGATGCTTCTCAACTTACTATGGGGTTATTCCCAATAAACCCATCACAAGTTGAAAATGCATTTAATCCACCTAACCTGCCAAACGCCAGGGCTTAGCTGAACCTGCAGTACACGTGCTCAGAACACTCACAGCGACCTACAGTTGTGCAAAGTCCTCTCACACAAAGCCTCCCTTATAGTAAAGTGCTGACTAGATCGTGTAATGTATTGGCTACTGCACTGGAAGTGAAAACCAGAACATTTGTCCAGCTCTCCAGTGGGATTCCAGAATGTGGGCACAGCTTTCCACCACTGCAAAATCAGAAACTCCGAAGCTGATGCTTCATCAACTGGGAATTGTCTGCATTCTGAGAACACACAGAGCAGCAGGAAGACCTCGAAGTTCATTCAGTAGTCAAATCCTTAGTGGTGATCTTATCTTGTTCTGTGATGGCTCTGTATATAGTGTAGGGTAACCCAAATACACAGTTACACTGATGCTAGGAACTGAGACTGTCCACACCAGAGAAAAGAGATACAAGTGTAAACTGAAGGAAACAAACTTAGCAGCCATTGACTGCGGACAACATCCTGGAAAAGCAAGTGGGGGCCCGGCGAGGGGGTCTGGTGGTGGTGCTAACACCGCCCCCTACAGTCACCCAGTCAGAAAGCAAAGGAGGTTGGCCACAAAGCAATGTCAGTGTGAGGCTCATTCCGTTGGGTGTCTTCCAAGGGACAGCTTTGATAATGGTGATGCTGTTGGGGCTGGGGAAGCCCCGCTTTGTGCCAGGCCCAGGCTGGGTGCTGCCACCTGCTCTCGTCTGGATGAGAGCCCACAGGGGCTGTGGTCCCCAGACGGGGTGGCTGCGTGGTGGGCTGGTGGAACAGCCCCTCACCCTGTCTCTTCTTCCCAGCACAAGCGCTGCATCCCAGCCTCCCTGGACGCCTACTACTCCTCCCAGGACCCCAACTCCAGAAGCCGCTTCTACACAGTCATCAGCCACTACAGCGTGGCCAAGCAGAGCACCGCCCGGGCCATCGGGCCGTGGCTGTCGGCAGCTGCTGTCATCCATGAGCCCAAACCACCCAAGACCCAGGGCCATTAGAGGCCTCGCCCGGCCAGGATGGGGGGCGGTGGTGGAGAGGGGGACCCCCGTTGGCTAAGCCGAGCTCCAGTTACAAGACAACACCGTACTCCTGGGATATGGGGGCGGGGGTGGGGCCGGGGTGGGGTGGGAGGGAGGAGCTCTTGGAAAATCTCGTGCACTGGAGTTGTCTGGATCGGTGTTCCTTTTTGTCTCTTGGTATTGTTGATTCGTCCCGAGTCAGGCTCATGTACAAAGGCATGTTTCGTGTTGACTGTTCCCATGTAAGATATTTTCAAAGCCCCTGCTTCTTCTTTGTTAGGCAAACTTAAAAGCAGAGAAGGACAGACACGAGGGAAAGGACCCCAAAGCATGGAACTGGCTCTCTCTGGAAGGTGCCGAAGGGTAAAGGGCGCGGGCTTCCTGGGTGGGAAACGGCAGCTTCGAGGTGGGGTTCCACGGCAGCCGTGCAAGGGAGCCGCACATGCCGGGGCTCTGTGGTCTGCCTCTGGGCTGCAGGATAGGAACACGGGGAGCGAGGAGAGGCGGAGTCGGAGCAAGGACTGATTTAGGCGTTCCCGAGCCCAGGTCACACTCGGCCGGGACGGGAGCGCACTGACCCCTGCTGCCAACTTCACAGTGTCCCTGCTGTGGCTGGGGCTGACCCATGTGGCTGAGCCAACCCACGGCCTGGGCTCCGAATGCCCACTCTGTGGTCGTGGGTTATGCAGACACACACATTGAGGTTGAGACATGGGCAGATTCGCTTCATTTTTTTTCCCCTAATTTTTCTAGATCTCTAGCTGGACACTGCCCAGGTTTGCAAGACAGCAGGGGTGGAGGGTGGGGGGGACTCCAGGAAGAAGGAAGCCCCAGGGCAGGTGTGTAAACCCTTGCCTGAGCTAGAGCACAGGCACTGAGTTTTAAATCTGTGTTTGTTGATTCTCCAAGTGCTAATCGCAGTAGGAACCGTGATAGGATCTACCCAGGACCCTCAGTGAGAGCCGGGAAGAGACGCTGAGCTTGAGGCTGCAGCGAAAGGAAGCTGAGAAGGGTGTTGGCTGTCTGTGCCCACTCCGTCCTGTGGGCAGGGGACGTTTGTCCAGCTCCCCCGTGGGATTCCAGAAGCTCTGGACAAGGAGGCGGCCTCCGGCCCTGACCGAACCCTTCCCTGCCCTGGGCACTCCCACGCCGTGGCCCCTCCCAAACATTTCAGGGAGGCCCATTCTGTGGGGTGCTGGCTTCAGGCCCGACAGGGCCCCAAGTGGCTGGGGGGATTGCTTATTTGAGAGGTGCTCCAGGTTCCCCACGAGTGTCCGGCAGGTCATGCAAAGGGTACTATTTGTGTGTGTGGCTTGCTACGTTGCCGAAATCATCGTACACAGCTGCTGGATGATAAGACTAGTGTAGCTCAAAGTATCCCGCCAAATGCTCTCGTCTGGTTTTTCCTCCCTTCCCACCCCAGCCCTCCCATCACCTCGAGTCACCTGTACATTCATTTGTCATCCGAAGTGGAACAACACATCGTCCCTAGCAAAACTGCTGAGCGCTTCATAATTTCGTGGTGTATTTTTGTCAGTAGATAGCAGAGGCTGAAGTATTTTTTGGTGTAATTCTTGAAATTTTCTGACAGGAAACAAATAAAGATAGATGTGTCTGAGCGTCTTGACCTTTCTTTGCAACTTGGTCATCTGCTCGCTGAGCCTCATGGGGAGGGCGCTGGGGTGGGGTCAGCCCTGGGGGCAGTGTCCTGTGCTGGAATTGGGCTGTGGAGGGGCACCTGGGGCCTGAGATGACGCTGAGGTCTCGGGCGGGGACCCAGAGAGGCACATGGCTCTGTGGTTTGGAGCCCACTGGGCTGTGACACAGTGTCTCCGCCTACCTTCTGTGGCTATCACAGATGGGGACAAACCGGGTAATTTATAAGGAACATCTATTGATTCCTCAGTGTTCTAGAGCCTGCAAAGTTCAAGTTCAAGATGCTTGCACCTGGCAAGGGCCTCTTCCAGCCTGGTCCCGTGGTGGAAGGGTGTTGAGAGAACAAGAGGTTCTCTCAACCAGGTGCCCCCGGCAGCCTGGAGCCCTCTGGCAATCAACATTGGGCCATCTGTGAAGGCGGGGCTTCCTGTGGCCCAACCACCCCTCATCACCCACTCCCCACTGAGGATTCAGCTTAGGACAGGTGGTTTTGGGGGGACACAGGCACTGCCCTGACATCTGGGGAAGGAAATAGGTCTCAACAAAAGAAGAGTGATGGTGCCCAGGACATGCAATGGGCAGTGAGTTGACAACTTGAGGAGGCAGACAGCGAGCTACGCGCGGGGCCCTTTTCATAACCAGCTCAGGTAAGACTCGGCATGACCTTAGCAGGTAAGAGCCATTACCCTTCCTGTGACAGACGAAGAGATGGAGGCTCGGAGGGATGACGGGACTGTTGGGGTGGCGGCAGAGGTGCTGGGATTCAAACCCAGGTTTTGTGACCTCTTGGCCCCATGGATTGTTCTGGTCTGTGTCAGGCCCGGCCAACAGTTAAGGTTATCAATCACCATTATCACAGGTGTGAACTGGCTGATTCTAAGCCAGCACTCAGGACCAGTGGTGCATGTTAAGAACAGAGAACACCGGAACTCCTCCCTGTGCTCTGTGCTTTATGGATTGTAGTTCACAAAGCCATCCTGCCTATTCCGAGAGGCAGGTACGCCCACCTTCGATGCCACTGCCATCACCATCGCCGTCATCATCCCAATTTTGAGATGCAGAGGTGGAGACACGGAGCGTGAAGCAGTTTGCTCAGGGCCGCGTGGCTCTAACCCACGCTTTTCGGTAGCTGTGAGTTCACCACAGTGCCTTGCAGCAGAACCACGCATCTCTGCATTTTGCTTTTCAGTTTATAGTCTGTGTTCACACCCCTTCTCTAATTTAGACAGCAGGCCATTTGTGGAAGAGGCCGGGATCGGTAACCAAGGCTCCGAGCAGATGCACGGACTGGGAGAGGGAAGGACGACAGCACAGCTCCTGCCCTTTGGGGCCACACAGGCTGCTGAGCCCAGAGCAGTAGACAACCTCACCCACACCCACACCACACAGCCTGTCTTTAGGCGGCGGTGAGTTGGAGAGGTCAGAGCAAGGACCTGGGCTGGCTGATCCACACAGCCCACGTGTAAACACTCAATGTTTTTCTCAATTACACAGAGTCAACTAAAGACTTAATGGGCACATGTTCAAACATTCTGTCATGAATGGATCTGGCCTCAAAAAACCAACCAAAGTCATTCTTCCTTTTCTGGAATGAAGAGGCTATTGGTAACAACTGGAAAAGGCGGCAAATGGACTGGACTGGGGATGGTGACAGATATTTCTGCTTTTAGGAGCGATGCTTAGACCACGCGCCCTTCCTGGCAGAGTTAACCATTTTTTCTTCAGAAAAAAAGGAGGAGACCTGTCTGCTCCCATGGATATCCAATGAGTGAGGGGCCAGTTTAACCAGAGGTGACTTGGTGGGGAAAGGCCCCCCTTCATTTTAGGGGATGGGGCTTAGCAGAGCCCTGTTGGTTGACAGAGGGTTGGGGACCCAGGCCACGATCATAAAAACAGCCTCTCGGTTTGCAGAAAGCCTTTTGTGCTCTTCTTAATTTATTCACCGACACCGGGAGCCTCTTTCAAGAGCCTCCCAGATTGGCAGAATCAAAGCTGTTCAGAAAAGAGGTGAGGCAGTAGGAGGGGTGAGCCATGAAGAGAGGTGAGGGCAGGAGAGGTGAGGGCAGGAGGAGAGGTGAGGCATGAGGAGAGGTGAGGAGGAGGAGAGGTGAGGGAAGGAACAGAGGTGAGGCAGGAGGAGAGGTGATGGCAGGGGGAGAGGTGAGGAGGAGAAGAGGTGAGGGAAGGAACAGAGGTGAGGCAGGAGGAGAGGTGATGGCAGGAGGAGAGGTGAGGAGGAGAAGAGGTGAGGGAAGGAACAGAGGTGAGGCAGGAGGAGAGGTGATGACAGGAGGAGACGTGATGGCAAGAGGAGAGGTGAGGGCAGGAGGAGAGGTGAGGCAGGAGGAGAGGTGAGGAGGAGGAGAGGTGAGGGAAGGAACAGAGGTGAGGCAGGAGGAGAGGTGAGGGAAGGAACAGAGGTGAGGCAGGAGGAGAGGTGATGGCAGGAGGAGAGGTGAGGGAAGGAACAGAGGTGAGGCAGGAGGAGAGGTGATGACAGGAGGAGAGGTGATAGCAAGAGAGGTGATGGCAGGAGGAGAGGTGATGACAGGAGGAGAGGTGAGGCAGGAGGAGAAGTGATGGCAGGGGAGAGGTGAGGCAGGAGGAGAGGTAAGAGCAGGAGTAGAGGTGAGGCAGGAGGAGGGGTGACGGCAGGAGAGGTGAGGCAGGAGGAGAGGTGAGGCATGAGGAGAGGTGAGGCAGGAGTAGAGATGAGGCATGAGGAGAGGTGAGGAGGAGAGGTGAGGGAAGGAACAGAGGTGAGGCAGGAGGAGAGGTGACGGCAGGAGGAGAGGTGAGGCATGAGGAGAGGTGAGGAGGAGAGGTGATGGCAGGAGGAGAGGTGATGACAGGAGGAGAGGTGATGGCAGGAGGAGGGGTGACGGCAGGAGGAGAGGTGAGGCAGGAGGAGAGGTGAGGGCAGGAGTAGAGGTGAGGCAGGAGGAGGGGTGACGGCAGGAGGAGAGGTGAGACATGAGGAGAGGTGATGGCAGGAGGAGAGGTGAGGCAGGAGGAGAGGTGATGACAGGAGGAGAGGTGATGGCAGGAGGAGAGGTGATGGCAGGAAGAGAGGTGAGGCAGGAGGAGAGGTGAGGGCAGGAGAGGTGGTGGGGCAGAGGAGCTGAGTCTGCTTCAAGCCCTGAGGATGGGAGGACTTGTTAGTTAATGTGCCACCCTGGGTTCTTGGAGGAACTGGTCTTAGGACTGGGCCTCGGTGGATGAGTTACACTTGGGCAGGCTGGATTCAGCAGTGTGCAGAAAAGGTGGCGCGGTGGTCTCCTCCCAGGTAATGGGGAGAGCCTTGGACAGGTGCAGAGGAGAGAGCGCCCAGGGCTTCCTGGCACACGTGCTCGTGGGATGGCTCCCCTGCGCAGGGCTGAATGCAAAGCTGACACATGCCCACATGGCCCCCCTGCCCCCTGGGGCTCCCAGGCCAGGCCGAGGTGAGGGAGGAGATGTGAGAACAGACAAGTGCATGATGAGAGGCAGCGAGGGGGCCTGGTGCACTCCCAGCACTTGTTCGGGGCGGGAGACACTGCGGGAGGCATCCACATTTCTGGAACATTGAAAGATCACTTGTTGAGGGTTCCCTCCGCTCATGGTGTGTGCTAACCCAACCAGGGGGTCGTATGAAAGAAGAAGAAATAGATCCCTGAAAATTCCTCCAAGCAGCACACAATACTATCTCTTAAAAAAGAATTCCTGAAGAGTTAAGGAAAAAGGTTTCCATGGCGACAATGCATGCTGGATCCCATAGTCCGGACTCAGGCTAGCACAGCGGGGTGTTTATGTGACTCTGCTTTATGCCAGACATGATCTCCTTCTGGGAACCCTGGCCCTCAAAGATGGCCACCCCTCTCTCTGCACACGCCATCCCCGCTCCTTTCTCCATGCCTCCCCCGGTGGCCTCCCAAGGGAAGGGTGTCCAGAGACTGTGGACTGACTCTATGTCAGTTACTGGTCACTTCGAGGCTGGCGCTGGGCTGGGCTCGGGCCACATGTAGGGTAGGGCACGTGGCAGAGGAATCAGGTTCCCACGAGGAGGGCAGCCAGCTCTGCGTGCGGCCTTTGCCAGCGGCCTTCCTCTCGCTGCACTTCAGCTTCCTCATCTTGAAAATGAGGATGACAATCGCTCCTACCTTATTTTGTGAGAATTGCATGAATTAATGTTTAAAGATTTGCCTCCAGCGGGCACTCAGCATATTAACCTGCTGTGGAGAAGGCTGTCACTCAGCCTGACTTTCCTCATTGCTAAACTGGAATTGTTCATGAAGAGCCTCCCCACCCCCAGCAGGATAGCTATGGGTCACAGTGAGGCCAGGGCCGTGACATTGGCTACCTCCTGCCTGCTCCTTATCCCACAAGCCCGTCTCCCGTGTCTTGTGCACATGCCCCAACACAGACCTACAGGCTGCCTGTCTCTTCCATGTCTACTGAGAATTTCTATTAATAAATCTAGTTACATAAATATATCATTAAGCATTGTCATTTGAGAGACAGAGAGAAAGTCAGAGGCAGGGAGAGCCCCCATCTGCAGCTTTGCTCCGCAAATGCCAGCAATGTCTAGGGCTGAGTTAAGCCAAAGCAGGAATCCAGGAACTCCATCCAGGTCTCCCTTGTGAGAGGCAGGAACCCATCACTCCTGCCTCTCAGGGACTGCATTAGCAATAAGCTGGTATCAGGGGCCAGAGCCGAGGCTCGAACCCGGGTACACCGTGGTAAAGTGAAAGCATTGCTTTCAGGTGTCTGTCATAATTCGCGAACCAACTGTAACCCAAAGCTTTATGAGCAGCTGTAGACTTATTTATATCTCATAGTTTTCCATACAATGTTGTCTCTGGCCAGGATCTGATCCAGGACGCCACACTGTATTTAGATGTCTCCTTAGTAGCCTGCCGTGGCTGACACGTCCTGGGTCCTACCTCCTCTTTCACGGCCTTGACCCTTTGAAGAGTGCTGAGCA